TGTGTCAAATGCAGAAAATGAACCCTTACTTCCTTGCAGTAGTCATAACCACTCTTTGCTGGGGCCATTCAAAATAAGTTAAATGAAAACAACTGGACTTACATAATTGGACTTGTTGATAAAATCTTATTCCTGTAGGTCCCAAAATTTGCATACATTTAGACCCAATTACTAGGGATGTAACAATATCCAAATCTCTCTGTACGATATTATCACAATATGTATCTCACGTATGATATTTATTGCTATATAGATGGGACACTTTTTTTTTGCTTTTAAAATACCTTGACAAAATTTTGGTGGGAATTATTTCTGTCATAATCCCAAGAATTCAAGTAAAAAACCTATTTCTTCATGTTGTCTGCACTGAAATGAATCATGAGGTATGTAGTTCCCTATGATCATAAGCTGTTCCTACTATAAAACCATGCATTGAAGCAGAGGAACTTGAAATTGGATATATTGTGACAGCCCATGATATTGTGAGACTTTTGACGATGCGATATCACAATATTTTGGTTATTGTTACACCCCTACCAATTACTGAAAGAATGTAAATCTTTTAGTGTTTTCTATTTATTTGAAAAACTGTATAGTTGATATCTTTTATTCCTAGACCACTATTATTTATGTAATATAACAGTGTGTGTACGCGTGTGTGCCACAAGTAGCCTACAGAGTCAGCCCTAATAAGTCCCATAAAACATAATATAAAACAGTTAATTCTTCATAACCAACAGTCCATTAGGGATTGTATACAGTAGATCAAATATACATCTATAAACACATCATTATTCTAGATAGAGCTGTGAGTTGAATGTAACATCAGCGTTCACTATCACTGAACAAATCAACCATTTCTTTGTTTTATTACTTACACCCCTCTTCCTCTATCCACACCCTCTCCCTTTTAGATTTATGTTTGCCACACAGACAAGAGCCTTTAATTTTACGCCTGGGTAGAGCATATACACTATTGCTTCATATTCCTCATTCTTATATCGAATCTTTTCAATCCTTAGGGGGCAGACTTTTTAATATGAACATAGAGGCACCCCACCCTTTAAGCATAGGCAGAACAATCATGGCATTTCCTGTTGTCTTATGGCAGTATTGGAGGCTGGTTGCATAATTACAAAGGGTGATGTATGGAAAAGCCACAAAGAAGGCACACTCAGAGTCATCCTAATTATATGCAGCGGGTTCGTGAGTAATGGGGTTGACACCAGACATCAATACAACCACTGCTTCTCATAATAGAAAACACTATTGTTACTGTGAGAAAATGGTTTGCATCTATCAATTGTAGCTTATAAAAACACAGAGCCAAAGATAGAAAACTCCCTTTCATTATTTGGCAAGAGTTAGGCTGTTTGATCAGTTGTCCTACTTTAACTTCACTCATATTTATCCGATTAAAGTATTTGGATTCATTTTGTACTAGTTTTTTTGTGCTCATATTTGTTTGTTAAAGGTGCATTGTGTAACTTTTCTGGTGAAGGGTCCGTCAGATGCTTTTCTCTATGGAGATATTATTGTTTTGTGTGGAATACTTCACTGTATGATATTAAATCTTTTTTATCTTAATGGACACTGAACCAGACCAAGTTACAGGTCATATCTGTAGAGAGGCAACCCTACTCATAGTCAGAATGCCTGTTTTTCTAGGTTTTTTTGAGCTATAAAACCACCTATAATTGTATAAATGTAAGGTAGTGACAATGACATATCCATATAAACAAGCAGGTGACGAACCACCAACCAAAAGTTACATAGTGCACCTTTAAATTGCTCCAACACTTACACTAACACTTACTTATGTATATGTGAAGCTAATTTTTCACTCGGGGAAACAGATTTTCACTTGTACCCGAAGTTCTTTTGTGTTTTTTAATATCTCGGATGGTAGCTGGGGTGGGGAAATAAGTCAAATTAATTCAATCAGTTTGTGTTTTTAATAATAAAATCCTTAAATGAGGAATCATGATGTATTTTGCAGTGTGAAAATACAGTAACACTTCAGAATTAATTGAGACAGAAAACATCTAGGTCTAAAGATAAAGACTATTAGATTGAATTGAAAATTACACAAATTAAATAAAATTACATTCAACAATTGTTGAAGTAAAAAGCTGTAATTTACTAATTAATTTACTAAGCTAAATGAGACTGAGATGAGAGTATTAAAAAGAGCACATTATGTATATTGTTATCGTTTTTTCCCAAGCATGTTTGAAATTAACAACAAATCATCAAATCTTAGCTTTAATCTGACAAAATTCACAAAAAGCACTGTCAAAATTCTTAAAGTCCATGTTGTTCTCCCTATAGCAGCCTCACCTGTGCCTCTGACTTGTTTCTTTTGCACCTTTTTACCCTCCATTCGGTGCTCATTGATCCCTCTATTGTTGACCAGTGCTGTGTGAATAATGTATACACTGTTTCCAAGAGAGGAGAAGCGAGATGTGTATGGGGGTGCTGCGTATAGGTGCTGTGTTTGTTTCTCTCCTCTGCTATGCTCTGCTGCCTCTGGCCATTCCCTGCACATTATTTCACACATGTAACACCACTGAAGATGCATGAAGAACGCTGCATTCGCTGGGATTATGTGCTACTGTTAGATCAATGGTCCGTCAAATCTTCTGCAGGACCTGCTTTATTGTGCTGTGATCTAATTGAATGCACTTTTACATGATCCTGGGTAAACTTGAGGCGAACTGTTGAAATGGGAAAATATGAAGCTTCATTGATTGCATATACTGTAGTGAAAAGCATTTAAGCAGTTATTGTAATTTTTGTTTAAGTGTTTTCTTTTTACAACAGATATGTTTTACATTGTTGTCTATTGTCTATCTTGCCATAAAAAGTAACTAGACCTCAACATCATCAAAAAATATACATATTTAAGTATAAATCTGTATTTTTAATGATTTCAGTGAAAGTAAGACCTTACTCTAAAAATGTTCTTAAATGTAACTACCAAGTTTCTTTTTTGACAATAATTCAGTATTTCATTCTTCTCTTTTGTCTTAAATGATGTTATATATGTCTACTAAAGAAAAAAAAAACAACATATCTATTTTTAAGGTGACAGTGTTTACCATGAGACTGCAGATGAAAGATAGTCTCTCAGGCTAATTCTGGTACATTTACAGAAATGTTGATTAATGTACACTATCCCTGCTAAATAAACCAAAGAAATAAATAGACTTACTCTTTATTTCATCAATGCTTCTCTAAGTGATCAAGCATAAGGTCTATTAAAATATGATTAATATTATTGTATTAAGATATTGAAAATGTAAGAGCTTCCAGTGCTCTATGTACAGTAAAATATACAATATGACAACATCACAACATGCACAATGCTCAAAAATGCCAATAGACTGCAATCCCAAGAGAAGGTTAAGAGGCTTTCAAATGGTCACATTTAAGCGTATATTCTTAACAAGCTCTGTGCAGAATGTCCATATTTTGCTGCAGTGCTGGCCCACTCAAGTGTAAAGTTATTGCTCATTGCCTCCTGTAGTGTCTAATAGTCCCAATTACTGCACTGTGCAGGCTCAGAGCTGCTCTGTGGCCCCTGCACACCGCTCTGTCCACCCTGGTGTGGTTAATGCACTTGTTTTTGTCTTACAGCTCTAAATGCCTTTCATAGAATAACAGTCAAACTCAAGGCCAAACTGATATAAGTCTGTACCTCCTCATGTGGACGCACTGACAGTGACCCTGGCCCAATGAGGCTGTGTGTGGTTTGCCCTGAAGAGCATTAGGTTCAGAAAGAGATGAGGAGGAGGCACAGGCTAGAGAAGGGCTCTTCTAGTATAAAGCCTGAGTGGTGAGAGGCTAGGGATGTAACAATAACAGAAATATAGTGATATCGTATCATCAAAAGTTTCACAATAATATCGTGGGCCATCAAAATATATTGTATGAATTACAAGTCTCTTTGCATAAATTCATAATTATAGTGCAGCATGAGCTAAAAAAAAAACAAAAACAGAGGGAACAACATAGACCATGATAGACCACATGGTCTATAGACCCTGTTGTCAGTGCAGATTACTATGAGAGGGTGGATGAAAGGCAACTGGTAGAACTAGGGGTGTAATCCACAAAAATCATGGTTCAGTACGTACCTCAGTTTTGAGAACAGGATTCGATTCATTTTTCATACAGTATGGGAACAAAATGCAAAACCATTTGTTTGGGGGGAGGGTAAGGTGTGGAGACTCCTTGCTGGCAAAAGGCAAAAGTGAGGACTGGGGCGTGATCATACTTTTGCAAGGATTCACGTGGTTCGGAGGGATGTAGTCAAGGCGGGGGGCATTTGTTGTCCAAGCGGCTGCCCTAATTATAAAGCGCTGCAGTAAACATTACCACACCAATCATGGACGAGTTACCTTGTGAATATTAAAGAGCCCAGCCTTCCTTGTAGCTTTACGTGTAGTGGCGGAATGTAAACACACAAATTGCGTGAACTTACTCCTGCACATCCCTGCAAAATGGCCACCACCAAAATGGTTTGGCATGAATACATGTACCGTTACACCCCTAGGCAGAACACATGTAATGTAACTGTAAACAAAACTGATGGTGCAAACATCCTCAATTGATAATTTATGAGGTGTTAAATCTGATGTATTTTGATCTTTTTTACTCGTATCATCATGTCTCAGAAAGTAGTATGTGTGAATGACCATGCGATCCATACAAACCAGATTCTATAACACCAGAAGAGACCCTTACTGACTTTGACACTCAAGGGGTCGTTATAGGAGCTGGAGGCTAAACAAGCAATCATGACTTAAAGCTAGCTCATATATGGGCTTTGTATTGGAGTGGCTGTTCACACAAGCAGAAGAAGAGCTATTATTCACACTGCCCCCATATTCTCCTCCTATTACTGCCATCTGTCTCCATTATAACAAATGACAGTCCAGCGAATACTCTGTTCCCTATGAATCTACTTAATGTACTTTTCTATTTTTTTCCTGCAGGATCGAGGCACCGTGCTGCTTCTGAGATGTGATGCTTCAGGATACTTGGGCACTGAAAGAACACAATTTGAGGTAAGGCTACATAGTATATTGCCCCCTAACATGAAAACTGTTGACTCAGAAACTGTTATTATTTTCGAATAGACGCGCAACGCACCTGGACTGCGTTGTTTTTGCACACATAGCCAGAGTTTGTATTTGTAGTATTTTAAACTGGGGTAGTACGTGACCGATAGTTGTCTCTGGGGATCCTGGCGGTTCCATCTGGTGCCAGGTAGAGGTGTAATTGGCCTGACATACACGTGCCTGCAAACTGCTAATCCAATCAGAGCTGACTGACCAAGCTTTTATACGAAGAGACATCAATAACAGAACATGTAAAAAAATAAAAACATTAAAAGGGGAAAAAAAACAGAATGAGATTTTAGAATATAGTTAGTAAACCACATAATATTGTAGTTTAAAATGGCAGATTTTGAGCTGAAGGTGCACACTTAAAGGTTCACTATGTAACTTTTTGATGGGGCTTTGTCACATGTTTGTTTCTATGGAGATGTCATTGCTCATTGCCTAAAATCCACAGTATGACATTAAACAGGTCTACTCTACATTTATTCAATTACAGGTGGTTTTAAAACTCAAAAATACCTAGAAAAACAAACATTCTGGTCGTGAGTGGGGTCACCTCTCCACAGATCTGACATGTAACTTGGTCTGGTTTGGTCTCCATGCAGGTAGAAAGGTTTAATACCATACTGTGAAACATTTCAGACACAGCAATAACATCTCTGTGGAGAAAAACATTTGACAGATCCCCCACCAGAAAAGTTACACAATGCAAATCACATTGAACTAAATCACATTGGTACCTGGGCTGGAAAAGTAAGTGATAATGATAAATTACACTAATGATATCATCATTTAAAAATATATTTTTAAAAAGACATGAAATGAAAATGATTGAAGATTGAAGACTGCTCACTGCAACAGCAGCCAGTTCATTCCATTCCATTGTCTATACATGACAGAGTGCTACAATACACTGGACAAGAAACAGCTTCTTTCCAATTTGCCCTCTCTGTGTATCTTCAAGGCATCAGCGTAAGTTTAACTGCAATGCCAGACCCTCCTCTGTCCATGAAGCCATTCACCACAACTTATTTACAGTGTATTTACAAGCTGAGCTGGGCCTGTAAAATGTCGGATTTACGAGTGCCTTTTTAATTAGAAATACTGTCTCCTAGAGTCAGTCTGATGAATTGCACATTGAGATTATTGACGGCAGATGAGGGTGCAGTTTTCATGTTATTGACAGCTATAGTGAGCATCTCATGCCTGACGTAGCTGTAGAGAAGTATGTGCAGTATTATTCTTGTGTGAAAACCCAGAGGCCATGGTTTCAGTGGATTCTTCTTCTGTATTGATTGAATCGGTAGACACTTGTAAAGACTTTCGAGACACAGAGGGCTATTATACTTTGTTCAGTGTATTTAAGCTAATTAAGTCTAATGTTATTGCAAAATCAACAAAACTCATTTCAATATTGCAAGAAACTATATAAATGTTTATAATGATCAGCAATCTGTCATAAATTAACATTTCTAAAGAGTTATCTATGCTATTACTATATTAAAAAAATAAATGATAGCATTTTTAAGGCATGTTATGCAACTTTTCAAGTGAAGTGTCTGCCACCTGTTTGTTTCCATGGAGATGTAATTGTGGATTTTAACCTTGCGTAAAGTTGACAGTGACAACTAAAACACTGGACAAAGGAAAAAATACAAAAAAAGTTTATTCTGTGTTATTTTAAAGTGCATTATGTGCCTTCAAAGATGGAAAGTCCCCTACTTGCTTGGGTCCATAGAGATGCATTTCTTTGCCTGGAATGTTCCGCAGTAGGGTATTAAATAAATACTGAACATTTCTTCAATGACAGATGTTTTATAGCCCAAAATACCTTAAAAACATGAATTCCTTCCATGTATATTTTTGCTTTTCCATAGATCTGACCATTAAATTGTCTCCATTGTGATTACCAGATTTATTTCACTACTGTGGAATAATAAAGGCAAACCAGAAAAGTTACACAATACATCTTTAACATATGTATCTCCTGTTGTGTTTTTGCCCTATTTTCTCCTATTGCCGTTCATGTGATTCTGAAGATCTCTGAAATCCAATTCGGCCAAGGCCTGCCTGTTGTCCCGTTTGTGCTGGAACAATAAGTAAAAGGGAAGGGGATGTATCAGTCTTCATGAGCTGGATGTCAGTGCTGGTGTATAACAGGTGTTTCCCATTGCACACTGCCTTCATTATGGGACACGCTAATGAGAGCACAGATTGGATCACAATGCCACCCGTATCAGTTACATCAGCCAAACAAAGATTAAATGTAACGCAAGGAACAAAAGAATATAGGTCACAAAAGCATGGGAAGATGAGCAGTAGTATTGTGTTAAGTATTAGTGGGTAAGATTACTATGGGAACCAACTAGAAATGTAGTTAACATTATCTGTGTATTCTATTATGTACGGTGTGTATTTATAAATAAGCTTGTATTCATGTGTAATGTATAGGTCGAATCAACCAAAACATTACGACCACTGACTTAGAGGTGGAGCTAATTACATATATTAATTTCACAGTGACACCTGTTGTAGATGGGGTAGATTAAAATTAAATATTACACTATTTCTGATCTATCTTATAATGTTTCCTCATCAAAAACATACCTGGAGTTGTGTTTTGTTTCATTCACACATGTTTAACACACAAACCCTGCATATAGGCTTCATTTTTCTCGTAAACTGAAGACACTATTCCACCTTGTGATGTCATGTGGTAATACAGGAAGTGCGCCTCTGTGTTTTTGTTTTTCATACCTTTACTAGAATAATTTGGAAGATTTCAGCCCTGGAGTTGCCAGTCTTTACTGAACTAAAGGTTCACTCTGTAAACTATCACTCCAGGACAGCTTTTTGATGAGGGAACTGCATTATAATATGGTTAAAAGCTCAGAAGAGTAAATTTTGTATAATATAGGACCTTTAAACAGCAACTGAACACTATGTGCTTTAAATGTATGACCAAAGCAAAGAAATAAGCAAAGCATAAAGATTTGAAGATCTGAAGATTTGTGTGCAAAATGCTACTGGTGAATGCTTCCTATTTGCGATGGTATTTCTCAATTACCAGAAATTTCATAGATTTGGTTTATCTGGCAACATTTACAATGAAGAGTGGCTGTGTAAATGAAAATATATTTAGGGACTAGATATATTTTTATTGCAATTTGTGTACTTGATTTATTTGCTATTATCACAAGGGTAGAAGACAGTTCAATTTAATATTATCATATTGTGACCCCTCTTACCGCTTTACATTCTATAGTGTAACTTGAATATATTTTTACAACATCACAACAGTGATTCAATTTTACTGAAGCTGCTTCCACATTTTACACCTGTTGTCAAACCAGACCCCCACCATGGCCCCCAGTCTCTGGCCCATGCATAAAGGCTGATTGTCTTATAATTTGACCTTTGCTTCCTGTCCAAGGCCCTTTGTTCTAACACAATAGAGCGCATATTGTAAAGCATGCCGGTCAATGCTGCGCTGGGTCCAAGTTGAAGGCCTCGAGTCACCACTTGTGCTTGTGTGTGTGTGTTGTATCGCTCTGCTCTGTTTGTGTGCATGCGGTGGTTGCCTGTTCTCCAGCATCAGCAGATGGGCCCGTTGCAATTAGACAGAGGCGTTTTCCCTTGTGTGCATCCATGTTGGCGCTCACACACTCACATAGACTAACACAGAGGAGGGCCTAGCACAAAGCAGATGTCTGTGAAACACTAGACCTGACACTTACTGCAACGCAGGAGAAAACCAGATTTAAGAATAAATGTGCCACCCAACCACTGAAACTACTGCTTGTAAAAATCTGGCAACTGTTGCTTGTTTAAACAGCTCCTAAACATCTGAATAATAAGTGAATGTTAATACACTGTAAACAAGGGGAAGATGTCTAGATATGAATAAAGAGATATGTGAAAGTGTGAAAAATACTGCTATGTTGACGTTAACATTAGGGATTCAGTGATCCAGGTTTCTCTGTTCCGATACCAATGTTGATACTTTGGTTTTAAGTATCTGCCGATACCTGATATTAGCCAATGCCAGAGACTGAAAATAGCATTTTTTCCTTTAAAACAACATATGATAAAAATATCCAAATGTGTTTCGTAACTACAGAACAGCTTTGTTAAAATACAACACTGGCCACTAAATTGTCTTATTTCTCCAGTTTATTCCCAAATGGGATATTGGCTGAACTGATACCTTGGAAGCCAATTCTGATCCGCAAAAATGTTCAATATTGGCGCTGATATCTGATACCGGTATCGGATCGGTCCCTATTAACAGAGGAATAGGCAATATTCCCCAAAAATCACATAACATTTATAACGCTAATATCACAATTTCTCAGAGTTCACACTTCACTGTGATTGGTTAAATCCAACTGTCACTCACTCTATGACAGAGGCTATCCAAGAAGTGGAACGAACTGCATCAAACACAGAATCATGTTTTGATTTTATCACCATATCGCCTAGTCCTCATGTTACAATTCCATATCGATATAATGTTTATATAGTTACATTTTTTTAATTAATTATTATTTTTTTTTTGTAGTTTTAACCATTTCTTTTTATGCATAGCCAGTCTTACAAACCGTGCACAGCTCAAACCCGTGCTTCTCAGTCAACCATCCGTGGTGACTGGTAGTGATGAGTAGCAGCGTTAGCACCAGTGTCTGCTATCTTGAGTGTAGCATCACATTTAGCCTTGGCAGTGGCGTATTGACCCGCAGTAACAGATCGGACTCTGAGGAAATGAGCTTGTGACTCAAAAGGTCACACTTTCCAAATCTGACTAGTACAGTAGCGGCAAAAACTCCCCACACTTGAAATCCCTCTCCAGCTGCCATCGAAGGCCGCGACCTCTGGGTTTTTAACCTTTAGCTGTTCCATTGCGGAGTGATGGCTTAGTATGTCCAGTGGTGCACGACGGTTCC